CCTGGATGTATAGACGCGAACGTGCTGCCGGACCACGTCACACCATTGTCACCGGTGTGTGTGTGTGTGTGTGTGTGTGTGTGTTTGTGTCTCCGTCCTCCTTTCATCACTCTATCTGCCTTGCATACGTATGTACCTGTGTATATAGCTGCAGGTATAGCTGTTATACTTTTCTCCATGTTCCTCCTTTTTGCCTTAATAATAATCTTGCTGTCTTCACTGCTGGATGCCGCTTGCACTTCCGTCAGCCGTGTTTTTTGTGACGACACCCGGGGGGTAAGTGGGGAGTCGCAGTAAAGGTCTGTACACACGCACACACAGAGAGAGAGAGAGAGAGAGAGCGTGGCAGAGGTGGTAGAAGTGGGGCGGTTAGTTTTAGCGGAAGTGTGTGTGTGGGGCGATGGAGAGCTCCCCGTTGTCTACAGGGGCGGCAGGGGAGCTTCTGGAGCTGGGCGTGGAGCCTACCACCGACCTGAGCACCTTCAACGACATACGAAACGACAACCGCAACTTTGACTACTACGAGCGGCAGTTTCAGGAGGTGTTGATGGGGCTGGAGAACGACGAGGTACTGGAGGCCTTCCGCGTGGAGTACGCCGCGCTGCATCACTCCTTTTTGAAGAGCCACGATGGTGAGACGCGGCTGCTAAAGAAGTGTCTGGAGCTGCAGGCCGACATTGAGTCGTGTGTGATGAAGGTGCAGGCGGCGGAGGAGCTGGCGCGGGGTCGACAAGACCACCATCGAGGTGCTCAAGGCGGAGATCGAGAAGACACGGAATAACGCTGCTGCCACGAAGGAGCGGGAAGCGCTGCTGAAGGACAAAGTTAACAGCCTCAAGCGGGACCTGAGCGACATCGAGGAGCGCGCCCACCGGCCTGTGGAGGCGACGGCGCAGGAGGCGGCGCTGCAGAGCCTCATCCACGCCCACGAGACGGTGCTGAAGGAGAAGGAGACGATGGAATACCAGCTCGCCTCGCTGCGGCAGGAGTACAACGGCATTGCGCGACGGCTGGAACGCATGCTGGAGGTGAAGCACGATCGCGACGAGGAGCTGCGCGCCGTAACGGACGCGACGGAGGAGAAGCTGCGCGAGGTGGAGGCGCAGAAGGCGGTGCGGCTTCGGCGTGAGGAGGAGCTGCGTATGATGCGGGAGGAGATTGCCCAGCGCGTCGTCGCCGCCCAGGAGCGGCAGACAGTGATTGAGCGGCTTAGCGAGGACAACGCCCGCCACGAAATGGAGATCAAACGCACCCTTGATGAGACGGCCCGCCAGACGGAGGTCTACCAGCAGCTCTCACGGCAGCTGCACAACGTGAATCGCACCTGCCAGTCTCGCAACGAGGAGAACGACGCGCTGCAGCGGCGCATGAACGAGCTTATGGAGGAGCTGAAACACAAGGAGTCGGTGCTCGACTCCGTCAGCCGCGCCCACAGGCGGGAGCTGAAGTTGTTGGAGGCTGCCACCCGGCGCACTGCGGCGATGGAGGGTCGGCGTGCGGAGGCGGAGGCGGCATGTGCGGCACTGCGCGAGGAGTTGGATCTTCTCAACGACGAGTTCGGGGCTGCCGTGCGGGCCGACGAGGCTGACGAGCGGCGTATTGCCGCACAGGTACGGGAACTCGACGTGCTACACAGCAACGTCCTTGACGCCGCGGAGAAGGCGCAGCAGCAGAACCTGTGGCTTGCAGAGCAGCGCACGGAGGCGCACCACCTGGAGCACGAGCTGCGCTCCTACGAGGAGCAGGCGCAGCGGCAGAACGAGGTGATCTACAAACTCACCCGCGAGTGCACTGGATACGAGGAGCACATGAAGATCGCCACTCTTCAGTGCGCCCGCATTATGACGGAGGTGCAGGACCGCGAGGCGCAGCTGGCCGTCGCTCTCGACGAGGTGAAGGACGTGGAGACCAGGCTGCACCAGCAGCAAATGCTGCTGGAGGCCATCCTCAACGAGCGGAAGACGTATGCCAAGCACTACGCGCAGATCCGCGGCAGTGCGACGGAGATGGCGCGGGGCTTCAAGCTTATGCTGGCGCAGATTAAGCAGTTACAAGAGGATGTGGGGCGCCGTGAGCGACGGTTGGCCATCGAGGACGGCGGGATCGAGGCCCTCGTGAAGCAGCGGCGGGACCTGGAGGCGCAGATCTCCGTCCTCCACCTGCGCACCGACAAGCGGGCCTGCTCGGTGCGGCAGTACGCGCAGGAGGTGCGCCACCTTAGCGACGTCTTTGTAGAGGGCGAAGATGAAGTAGGCCGCCAACGCCGCCGTCTCCGAGACGTGCAGAAGGAACGTGATTTTCTCGACAATCAGGTGTACGCCGCTAGCGAGGAGTTGACGCAGCTCTACGACAAGGCGCGGGTGCAGCAGGCGCTGCTGCAGCGGGGCGAGTCCATCTGCGCAGAGCGGCTGCAGACCATCGATGAACTGCACCACCGCATCGCGCAGCTGACGGAGGAGGTGGGGCGACTGAAGCTCTTTGTGCAGCGCCTTCCAGAGCTGCGGCGCCTCGTCAACGGCGCCTCGCGGGAACTTGTGCGAGAGCAGAACCGCGTGCAAGCGCTGTTGCACGAGTGCGAGCGGCCCATGAACCTGCACCCGAACCACCAACTCGCCTCGTCGGACCCGGAGGCGTACGCCCTGACGGCGAAGGTGAACAAGCTGCAGCGGGAACTCATTGCGCGGCGCACGGAACTGACGGAGAAGGAGCAGCGCATCAAACAGCAGGAGACATCGTACCTGCAGTGCAAGGCGACCGTGGCGCGCCAGCTCGGGCCGGAGATAGCGGAGCAGATTACGCTCTACCAAGGCAACCTGGCAAAGAAGGCGGGGCAGATGCGGGCGATGATGGCGAGCCTCAAGTACTTCCGCGAGCAGACGGAACTTTACCAGGCACGCTACAATGAACTCCGCGACACGCTGGACGGATTTGCGCAGAAGTACGTTGAGACCAGGCAGCGCCGCGACCGCGAGGCACGGCGCGAGGCCTCCGAGAGGAATGGCTACGACGAAACGGAGCCACTGCGGCGGCTCGAACAACCGGAGGAGTATGTAGGCTACATTGCCCCTCCACGCGGTGACGATCACTCCACAACTGCGGCTCACGACGCCCCTAGCGGTGACAACAGCGGCGGCCTCAACCATGAGGGTGACGACGAGCGTCCCAAGATGGAGGAGGGAAGCGGAGGAGCGGAGTTGGCCATGTGAGGCGCGCGTTTTTTTTTTTTTTCATGTACAGTGTCCGGGAGGAGGAGGCGGCGGGGGGTAGGGGTGTTTATTTGTACCGCCGGCATCATCTCCGCGAGTGCCTATATATATATATATATATATGCCTATGCATGTGTCTGCCAGCCTGTGGTGGTGTGTGTGTGTGTGTGTGTGTGGCTGCAGGTACTCGTTCCACCTACTGCTGCTGTTCTTGCACTTTTCTAAGTCTTGCTGCTGTTTCTGCGGTTTTTTCTCACGTTATCTTCTCGCTTTGCAAATATCGGGTCTCCGCCACTTTTGGCTTCACCTTTTTTTTTCCCCCCCACCCCCACCCTCTGCCACCGTTGGTGATGCACACGTCCCGGACGTGAGAGGAGGTAAAACCGCAGGAAAGGACACAAGCAGATACGCACATATACACTTATAGGTCTCTCTCTGTATACATACGTATAAAAGGCAGAGCATAGATCAAAGGAAATAAAACAACAAAACCACAGTAACAGACAAAAGTAATGATGCGTCGACTGACTCGGTACGGTGGGGTGGTGGCGACGACTGCTCTGCTGCAGTGGCGGGGGAAGGCAGCGGTCCTTTCGCCGGAAATCACGACGATGTGGGGGATGCAGCGACGTCTCCAATCGAGTGTGTCTCCGTGGAGCGGCAACAGCGGCAACAGCGGCGGCGGGGTGGGCGGCGGGGTGGGCGGCGGCGGCAACAATCCGCAGCAGGGGCGCGCCTGGGTGAACCCACAGGCGGTACCGCCCGGCGAGTTCCTGAACAAGTACGCCCGCAACCTCACCGAGGAGGCGCGCATGGGACGCCTGGACCCCATCATTGGCCGCGAGGAGATCATTCGGCGCACCATTCAAGTCCTGAGCCGCCGAACCAAAAACAACCCGGTCCTCATCGGTGAGCCCGGCGTGGGGAAGACGGCAATCGTGGAGGGGCTGGCACAGCGCATCGTGAGCGGCGAGGTGCCTGAGAGCATCAAGGAGAAGAAGGTATTCGCCCTCGACATGGGCTCTCTCGTCGCTGGGGCGAAGTACCGCGGCGAGTTTGAGGAGCGGCTTAAGGGGGTGCTGAAGGACACCATCGATGCGCAGGGCAAAATTATCCTTTTCATTGACGAGCTGCACACCCTTGTTGGGGCGGGTGCCTCCGGCGACGGCTCAATGGACGCGGCAAACCTGCTTAAGCCATCCCTTGCCCGCGGAGAGCTGCACTGCGTGGGGGCGACCACCCTCGACGAGTACCGACGCCACATTGAGAAGGACGCTGCACTCGCCCGCCGCTTTCAGTCGGTGCTGGTGACGGAGCCGACAGTGGAGGAGACGATATCCGTGTTGCGTGGCATCAAGGAGAAGTATGAGGCGCACCACGGCTGCCTGATCAAGGATGAGGCGCTGGTGTACGCTGCAGTCAACTCGCATCGGTACCTCTCCGAGCGTCGATTGCCGGACAAGGCCATTGACCTCATCGACGAGGCTGCCAGTCGGCTGCGGCTACAGCAGGAGTCTAAGCCAGAGCAGCTCGACGGTGTTGAGCGCGAGCTCGTGCGGCTGAAGATCGAGGTGGAGGCGGTTAAGAAGGACAAGGACGAGCTAGGTAAGGCGAAGCTGGAACAGCTTTACGCCCGCATTGAGGAGCGGCAGAAGGAGTACGATGCCCTGGAGGCGCGCTGGAAGAAGGAGAAGGCCATGTTTGAGCGCATCAAGCAACGGACTGAGGACCTCGACGTGCTGCGGTATCAGTACGAGCAGGCCCGCACGGAGGGTGACTTCGCCAAGGCGTCTGAGATCCTGCATGGCCGCATCCCAGCGCTGAAGAAGGAGATAGAGGCGGACAAGCACGCGACGAAGACGGAGGGCTTCCTCACGCACGACTCCGTCACGGCATCCGACATTGCGCAGGTGATTGCCCGCGCCACCGGCATCCCAGTGCAGAAGCTCCTGACAGGCGAGCGGGACAAGCTCATCCACATGGACACCGAGCTGCGCCGCCGCATTCTTGGGCAGGACGAGGCAATCAACTCCATCACGAACGTCGTGCGCATCTCACGCGCCGCACTGCACTCGCACAAACGCCCTCTCGGCTCCTTCCTCTTCCTCGGCCCCACCGGTGTTGGCAAGACGGAGGTGTGCAAGCAGCTCGCCAAGTTTCTCTTCGACGATGAGTCCTTCATCTGTCGTATTGATATGAGCGAGTACATGGAGCGGCACTCCGTGCACCGCCTCATTGGGGCCCCGCCGGGCTACGTCGGCTACGAGGAGGGTGGCGAGCTCACGGAGTCAGTGCGGCGGCGGCCATACCAAATAGTTCTCTTCGACGAGTTTGAGAAGGCGCACCCGAGCGTGTCCAACATCCTGCTGCAGGTGCTTGATGAGGGGCATCTCACCGACAGCCACGGACGCCGCGTCGACTTCAAGAACACCATCATCATACTTACCTCCAATATTGGGGCGGACGTCATCGCGGCGTTGCCGGAGGGGGAGCCGTCGTCACGGGCGATGCCGGCCGTGATGCGACTGGTGCAGCAGCACATGACCCCGGAGTTCATCAATCGGCTGGACGACATTATCATGTTTAACCGCCTTGGGCGCAAGGAGACCCGTAAGATCGTGGAGCTCCTTTTTGATCAGGTGCGGGTGATGCTGCAGGAGCAGCAGATCAAGCTAGAGACGACCACGGAGGTCTATGACTGGTTTGGCGAGCACGGCTACAGCCCTGTGTACGGTGCCCGCCCACTCAAGCGGCTCGTGCAATCCGTCCTGCTCAACCACCTCGCGCTAATGCTGCTGGACGGTCGCGTGCGGGAGAAGGAGACGGTGCAGGTAGAGATGCGCAGGGGCGAGGTGTACATCGTGCCGAATCACGAGGCCGTCACCTCCCCCAGCAGCGCCACCGCCGACATTGGTCTCATCGCGTAGCCGCCAACCTCCTCCTTCACCGCCGTGCGGCCAAACCCGGCACCGCTGATTTGTCTTTTATTATTATTATTATTATTATTATTATTATTATTTGTTTTCATCGTATCTTTATGGGCTCAGCGGCTGCGATGACGACTGGCAATATGACGCTTCAGGTTTTACAAAGACGTGTGTGCGGAGAGAGAAACAAAACAAAACAAAACAAAAAACAAAACAACAACAACGAGAACAAGAAACAGACACATAAAGAGAAAAACACGAAAGCACCAAAGTACGACCGACACGTCAATTACTTTGCTTTTTTTTTTTTTCCCTGGAGCGATCTCTTTTCTCTCCCCCTCCCCCCTCTCTCCCTCTCTCTTTCCAGTCGTCCACACCATTTGTGTTTCACCACCACCACAGCTGCTTCTACTATCACTATTATTATTACTGTTATTACTGCTGTTTTCAGCGTCGTGTTCCTTCGTCCCCTCTCCCCATTGGCCCGTAGAGTGGGCGACGTTTTGTGCATTGGCGTGTGCGTCAGCTTCTCTCGCTCTCTCTCTCTCTCTCTCTCTCTGTGATTTCCACCTGCGGGAGGGGCTCCGTTTGCCGCTCTTCTTGCGCGGCGCGGCGCCGGACCTCCAAAGACCCCTTACGCCACCGACGGCCTCTGGACTCAGAGATACCAAATGGAGCAGCGCCCCGGTGTTGGTCCCACCGTCAGCATCGACCGCGGCGGTGCGCCTGCCGCCGCCCTCCTCACATCACTGCTCGACGCGGACGAACAGTTGACACTTCTTTCCACGCTGCGCGACAGTCGGCGGCGGGCGCACGTGTTGCTACAGCGCACAGAAACGATGCTCCGGCAGGGCGTGGAGGCTATGTGGGCGTGTGCATGGATCACTTCGGAGTAGCGGTGGTGGGCTTTTTTTGCCTCATTTCCGCTGCCTTGCTCTCTATCCTTTTTTTTTTTTGTATTTTATTTATTCCTTCATCTCCTCCTTTTTGCCTCACGTTTTTTTTTTTGGGTTGTGTGTGTGTGTGTGCCGAAGGAGACGTGCGGGTGTGGGGCTCCAGCCCTTCCCTGCCCTTTGCGGGGACGGAGCGAACACGGCCGGAGCGACGGGTGACCAGAAAATAATAGTTCTGTTTTCTTTGGCTGCGTGGCGGTCTTGCCGCTTTTTTTTTTTGCGTGCATCTTCTTTTCTTTGTTTTTATTGTTTCCTCGCCCTTTTCTCACTCTTCTTCTTTTTCTCTTTTGCCTCTTCTCGCCGTCCTACCGCCTGCGTTCGTGGCGGAGAGGAACGGCGTTGCACACGCACAAGTGCACGCTCATCACTCCACAGCGCCACGTCCAAGGACACTGTTAGGCAGTCTACTTGGAATGAAGGCTCGGCGCTTTCGTCCGCGTGCTGCGGGGGGTCGTACAAAGGTCCGGCGAAAGCTTCGCCTTGTGCTCGCGCTGCTGTTCTTCCTGCTCTGCCTCTTCCTGCTCCAACGCCTGCTGTGGCGGGATTCAGTGATAAACATTAACAGTGCGTTGTTTTTCGTCCCCGCCGGCGGCAACACCAACACCCTGACGGTGGTTGTGACGGAGCTTCAGTCTGCTTACAGCGGGGTGACGGCAGCGGAGGCGGGGCCTCGGCTGGAGCAGGCGCTGCAGCGCCGGGCGTGGTGCACATCCGCGTCGCCGACGCAAAGTGTGGCGCTCGTACTGATCTTTTACGCTTTGCTGGAGACACCCCGGTGGTCCCGCAACCTCCCGGTGCAGTGTGTCGCGTGCGGCAAGAACGACCCCTGGCACGTGTGGACTGTTGACCTCGCCGGCTTGCAAACCCGCGAGACGTTGGACGTGGCACCGTGTGTGACGGAGGCCCACATCATCTTTGCCCACAAGGCGGAGAAGGTTACCAAGTTGAACCACGGTGTTGACCCGGCGATGGTGCGTGCGGCGTTGGCGGTGGTGCCTCGCACTGATTACTTCCTTCTTATGGCGGATTTTGTGGTCCCCACGGGGGACGACTTTATGCAAAAAATGCTCCTACCATTGAAGAGGAACGATGGGCGCGTGGCGGCGGTGCAGTGCACTTTGCTGCAGAAGCGCAAGGAGCGGACGCGAAATATGAGCGGCAACGTGGGGGGGTTCTCCCTCTCCGACCATAGCATTGTAGACCGAGGTGTCTTTGTGGGCCTGGGTGTGATGAAGGGGAAGCGGCTCCTGCTGCCGTACTTGACGCGCCGGTTCAACGGCAACCCCGCCACGGACGGCCGCGTCTCGGAGCCCGAGGTGGTCGACGCTGTCTCGTCCTTCTGCACACTCTACCACCGTGCCGCGTTTGATGCCGTCGGTGGGTTTCGCGAACTCACCCCCGGCAGCGTCCCGAGCGCGTCCTCCGCGCCCGACATTGCTGGCTGGGACCAAAGCATTCGCCTGCAGGAGAAGTACACGTGGTGGCAGGTGTTGAGCAGCGCGGCCTTAGGGGTTCTTGACAGCGACGTCACTTTGCCGCACTTGGTGTCCACGCTGCTGCGTAAACCGGCCTTTCCCGCCACCGACCGTTGGGGGAAGAATAACTTTGAAACCCTGCAGCGACTACACAACCGCCGATTCGGAACCCCCCACCGCAGCCGTGATGTGAGTTTTTTTGACAACGAGAAGCCGCTGGCGCCGTTGATTTTCTTTGCACGCGACTACTCCTGTTCTTGCTGTGGGCTGATGCGAGAGGTGACGGGCTACCTGCGTCCGCTGGCGGAGCGGTACGGGGTGTCGATTCTGACCCCCGTGTGGTACGGCTTCTGCTCCAGTGCGGTGGGGTCGGAGTTGGCCATGCTGGAGCTCACGGACGAGCTGCACGTGGAGCGGTTTTTCTCACCTCTCCCCCACAGCCCTGTCTGGCGTGCGGCGTACGAGGCGCGCCGCAAGATTGTCGTTATGCACCTGCGTGCGCACACCTACAAACGGGTGCACGCCACGGTGCCGCACAAGATGGATTACTTTATCGGCAGAAGCCTCAGCGAGTTTTCCCGCATTCCGCATAGCTGGGTGCATGGGATGCAGTATTACGCCAACGAGGTGTGGTCAACCGGTGAGTTTTTTAGCGCCGTCTACCGCCGTGCGGGGGTTGCGGCGGAGAAGATCCACGTCATTCCTGAGGCTCTAAACGTGCACTCGTACAACCCACGCGACTGTGACACCCTGACCTTCCCGATGCCGCTGCGGCGGTCCTACACCAACTTGCCGGAGCTTTCCCCAGAGGAGCAGCGGCGCCGCTTTAGGTTCCTGACGGTCATGAAGTGGGAGGGGCGGAAAGGGTGGGACATCCTGCTGAAGGCGTACTGGCAGGCCTTTGGACCCACTTCGCCGCTGCATAACCACGTCTCCCTCTACATGAAGGTGAAGTGGGTTAAGGCATACTCCGGCAACGCCGGGGACAACAACATCCACGAGCTCATTGCGAACTGGGCGTCGAAGAACTTGCCAGGGTTTACCTCCATGAAGGATTTCCCGCACATTGTATTCCTGAGCGGTGAGGGGTACGTGAGCGAGCGGCTTTTGCGGCAGATGTACTGCTCTGTCGACGCCTTTGTGTTTCCCACGCGTGGCGAGGGGTGGGGGCTGCCGGCGACGGAGGCGATGGCGATGGGCGTGCCGATTCTAGTGACCAACTGGGGTGGTACAACCACCTTCATGTCGTCCAACGCCACCTTTGCCATAGCTGTGGACGGGCTAGAGGACGCGCCGGACGGCCTTGGCTACGACACGTTCCCGGGCAACAAGTGGGCAATACCGAGCGTGCAGAGTGCGGCGGACACGATGCGGTACGTTGTGGAGAATCCCGCCCACGCACGCGCCGTGGGGATGCGGGGGCGGCAGCTCATTAAGGAGCACTTCAGCGAGGAGGCCATTGCTGACCGCTTCGACTCCCGTTTCGCCGCGGTGACGCGAATGCTGGTATTTGGGCGGTGACGTGCCCCCTCATTCCCCACCGAAGACAAGGCACCCAAACGCAAAAGTCGTAACAAAAACATAAAAAAAAAAAACGTAAAATATGGAGGAAAAGGGAAACACGTGCAACAAAGAGAGAAAGTGATGAATGTAGAGAGCTGAAAGGAAAATAACAAAACACAATTAAAACAAAAAGAAAAAAAGGAGGGAATGTGTGGAAGGGGGATGGGGCGCTTATAAAGTGAGATGAGACCGGCTTGTCTAGACGAAAGAGTGTCGGTGCGGGGGGTAGTAGGTCAATAATTTTGTGGTTCCCCGCCAGGCCCCTTCTTTTCCCGCCGAGGCCAGGCACACCCGCCCACAGCTAAAGGGGGAGGAGTAACAAGGAAAACAAGAAAGGATGAGTTGGTGAATGGTGGGGGAAGAAAAAAAAAAAGGATAAAAGGGAGGAGGAGAAAGAGTGCCACGGCAGAAACCCGATAAAAAATCACAAAATATGTAATGAAGAAATATATATATATATGTATATATATATAT